AGTCCACGAAAGCTTATGCTTTAATAAATTTGTTAGTCTCTAAGGTGCCACAAGTACTCCTGTTCTTTTTCCCAGGTGTCTGTTTTCATTTTCAAAATGGGAAGAAATGCAGTAAAGAAACAGCATAAGCACAGAAAATTAAACTAGATTTTAAAAATGGTTTCAGTTGTGATAATCTCGGGTGCTAATTATGCTAATACTTACTACTTCGCTATTATTACCTCATTCATTATAGGTACTAGATAATACTTAGCCCTGCCTTGAGTGCAGGGGATGGACTAGACGGCCTCTTGTGGTCCCTTTCAGTGCTAGGATTGTATGATTATGGCCTAGTTATTTCTTAGTCCTGCCTCAGTGCAGGGGATTGGACTAAATGACTTATTGAGGTCCCTTGCAGTCCTGCACGTCGATGATTACGTTCTGAAAGACTGACCAAGAACTGTGCTAAGCACTGCACAGAGTACAGGATGACAATATCGCGTTCCAATACCTGGTTCAAAGAGCTCATATACAACCATAAATTACAATGTGTTGGAGTATAAAGATGAAGAACCTGAAGCACAGAGGTTTAAATGACGGAGCTAAGCTCACACAGCGATGGGAACGGGGAGGCGCTCGCGGACCTCGAGCTGTCGCTGGTGTTTAAAGCGTTGAGAATTGGATTTCAAACGAGTCCTTCCGCGACGCTCTTGGGTGCGTCACTTTACGCACAGTCCCTTAGAGTGGGGAAGCCTGGTGTTATGGAGGGAGGAGGCGAGAGGGCTGAGCGCGCGCTCTAACACTGCCCCCTGAGTTCCGGGCCGGAAGCCGGAAAGCTAGCGGAGAGGGGCGTGTCTGAGCCGCGCAGGCCCGGAAACAGGGTGAGACTAACTCAGCAACATAGCCAGTGACCCCTGCAGAGTGGAATGGAACCTTCCTCCTTTCCCTTCACGGGCTGCTGACCCGGGCAGTGAGGGAGCGGCACGTGCTTTCAGTAGTGTCAGTCCAAGCGGCGGCGGCGGCGGCTGCTGGCGCGGGGGGGGTTGCTGGGGGAGGATGAGGCGCAGCCGTTGTAGCTGTAGGTGGTGCTTTGAGGTGACCGTGTGCCCTTGGCCAAAGCGTGGGGGGAAGCCGCAGGAAAAAGGAAGAGCAGGGAGGGGGGTCGAGCTGCCAAACAGGCGCAAGAGGGACCCGCCACTGATTGTCTTCCTCTGGCACTAGCCCCTGCAGCTACTACCTCCCTGGTTTTGCTGTTGAATCACTGTAGCAGGTACGGTCAGCTGGTTCTTCGCCATTCCCTCTCTAAGGGGAATTCACAGCGCCTGAAAACAAAATATAAGTAGAGCCCTGCAGTGGATACAAAATTTGTATCTGCACCTGATCCGTGAGGGGGAGGGATAGCTCAGTGGTTTGGCCTGCTAAACCCAGGGTTGTGAGCTCAATCCTTGAGGGGGCCATTTGGGGCAAAAATCTGTCTGGGGATTGGTCCTGCTTTGAGCAAGGGGTTGGACTAGATCACCTCCTAAGGCCCCTTCCAGTCCTGATATTTTATGATTCTGTGATCTGCAAACATCACTAGATATAAAGTGGACATCTGCAGATTTGCAGAGCTCTAAATATAAGGAGTGATCCTGCATTGGTGGGAGGAGGGGAAGGTATGCAGAGGGATGTACTACAGATGATCAGATCTAGGGCTTCCAGCTGCTGTGATGCATTCTGGATTATTTTATTGTTTATTTTAAAAGAATTGGGGAGGTTAACAGACTAAAGATATGTATTAAAAGGCACAGCCCTTTGTCAGTAGTGGATGTTCTGTATATGATATTTGTATCTTAATGATGCATGTTTCTATGGAAAAGGCTTTGCCATGGGATTCATAAATGTTATGCAAGTCCCAAAATGAATACACAACAAAAATCCAGTAGAGGAGAAAGTAGCAAATGGATTTGGAATTGTTTTTTTAAACATAAATCGTTTTCTAAAATCTCAAGTTTGAAGTTACAGAATAAATGTTTCATCCGTAATATTAATAATTGACTGAAGTAAAAAATGAACTGCTTTGTATGAGGCATTTAGGTTTAAATTTTCTACTTGCAAAACTTCTGTTGTCTTCCAAGAGGCTATGATTTCACCTTTGAATTTTATATACATGGATGCAATGTGGATTATAATCTGACCCTATGTCCTCTTGTTGTAGCATCTGAGAAAAGGCAGCCATAATAATTGAAGTATAAATATACCACAGCAGAGTATACATCAATCACTACTTGGGAAAATGTAAATAGGCACTTTATGTATATCTTGCTTAGTATTACTGAAGATTTAGGATAAATTATCTTCTTCTGGAGAAGATTGCTGACATACCAGTTTTGCAGATTATAGAACAGCAACTAACTGCTTTATTTATGTTTCTCTTATAGACTTGTGTACTTGCACTTTCTGAAGATGAATGAATTTAAATATAAATACCAATACATTCCTTCCACAAACCTACATTTACCTGAGGAGATCACAACATCCCGATTGTATGCCTCTGCAACAGAGGGCTTTGAAGCCCAAATTGCCAGCCTGGTGGAAATGTTTTTGGTTGAAGTGTACAGGTGCAAACTTTGTCAGTTCACAAGCAGTATCAAGAATAAAATCAGAACTCACATGACTAACATTCACAAACAAGGTAGAATTTGCCACATTTCTGAATGCCTTGAAATGGGCCCAGATCAAGATGAAAATGACTCATACAGCATAGGGGATGAAATCTGCCAAGAAAACAAAGAAAATGAAGAAAACCTTGCAAAGATATCATTTCTGTTGCCCATGTACCAAATGCTTCATAACATGAGCCCTGAATGCTGTGATGTGAGCCTGGGGAATCATAGTGATAATCCTAGTGTCTCTCATTCTAGTAAGGTAAACACACTATTTGAAGAAGAAGCAGGTCAGTTTCAGCTTGAGGAGCCCTGCTCTGTGGTGCCTAATCCCCTCTCATATTCCACAGACCTCAATGAATCTAAAAGAAGCAAAGATGAGGAGGAAGCCCAATCTGAACATCTCATGTCACTTGGCCTGTGTCGCATTTCCAGCATTAAAACGCAAACTTTAGAAGTACAAGTGAAAACAACTAAAGTTGAAGTCAAACAAGAAAATAGTAAAAGTCAGAAGAAGGTCAGACCTGAACACAGTGGCTTAACTCAGCCTTTGAAAGGTATTTGCACCTTAAAACTAAGTGCTGAAAGAATACAACACTGCAACATCTGTGACCAAGAACTGAAATCAAAGAGTGCTTATAAAATCCATGTTAAATGTCATGATGGGGACGAGGGCTTCAAATGTGTTTATTGCAATTGCTGCATGACTGAATGGAACTTAATGGAAAATCATTTAAAAACACACAAGCCAGTAAAAGAGAGCTACCGGTGTCTGATTTGCAAGAGAGTTTTTATGTCGCCAGGTGCATGGAAAATGCACAGGAACAACCATCATGGAAAACGTAATCTCTTTCAATGCACGAAGTGTTCATCTCTTTATGAAACTGAGCAAGTGAGAAATCTGCACGTATCTTGTCATTATGGTGACTTGTTTAAATGTCTGCACTGTGATTTTATTGGTAAGTCTCAAACAATTATTTTTCT